TGTGGCTCATGGTCGAGTGCTCGCAGACATTCAACCCATTCCGCCCACCGCCACCATGTCTCAATTCCGCGCGGCCAAGCTGGACATTGGATGTTTCGCAAAGATTCGCAATATCCGCGACCACACCAAGCGGAAGGTGTACTCGGAGAATGAGCCAGAACGGCATGCGCCTCTGCACCTAACGCTCCCATGGCGCAACGACTGACGACGACACAGACAAGCTCTGCGATACCTGATCCGCAATACCACGCTTCCGCAACGAGTCCGCGCGCAGGCTCAGCTCCAGCTCTCGCAGATGCACTGCTACACACGCTACACCCAGATCAAGAACAGGTGTATAATGGGCGGCAAGGGCCGTGGTGTCTTCAGCGACTTCAGAATGGGCCGAGTATGCCATGGCCTTCTCTTCGCGCGACGCAGGGCTGACGATGCTACAGTATCAATTTCGCGTAAACGCTCTCGCGGGGAACCTGCCGGGCGTGAAGAAGGCAAGTTGGTAGCTGTGCTTCTACGAGAACCCGACTGGTTCCATGTACAATCCCACCTACTTTTGGCTACACATGTAGCCTTGCACATGGCCGCTCTTCGGGCGCACACTGTGAGACATTGCGTGCGAAATCTTCGTGGTTGACCCATCTCACTGTCTACTTTGCCCTCCCCTCGCTCTCTCACCGTGCGAGACACCCTTTCCTAATCGGTTTGCTCTCACCACGCGCTACAAACGACGGCAGCGGCTACCCACCGCGCCAGTGATAAAAGCCGACTTCCGTAGCCATTACACCTACAATCCCTACTCCCGCAATAGCTCTGGCTGCCGTTTTCTAGCAGCTCACTTCGCCACTGTCTACGGTCCATAGACGCCCTCAAGCATCTACGTCAGCATGTTCCGCCGCATAGAAGACACTCTGGAGCCGGATCCATCATTTCCAGCCGACCTCAACCAACTTGGCTTCTTCATCAACCTCTCAGGTCATGTCCGTATGATCGACGCCCCCGAGAAGCCCTATGTCTACCACGCGACCAACAATGAGCGCGTCAACGAGGTGCGCCGCGAGGCCATGCAAAGTACATTCCAATCTCCATTGAAACACTCGCAGCTAACACATCACAGCCTGCCAGCGCAAGGAAGCAGAGAAGCGCCTGTCCCACCTCGGCCTCGAGTGCATCCACCTTCCCGACTTCGCCATGACCAAGCCCAATGGTCCACATGTACCTATCCTTGCTCCACCGCCTGACCTCCTCAAGACGCGAAAGCGATTGATTGTACTGGTAAACGACACCATGCAAGATCTAGGCATCCTGGCGTATAGACAGTTGCAGCGGGAACTCGGCATCAACGGTGGCTCAGTCGTCAACTTTGCCAAGGAGATGGTCAAGTGCTCGGACACTGACAACACCGCTGAAAGGGACGCGAAGATTTTCAAAGATGGTCATGTTCTCCAAGACAAGACTACCACTCCTGCTTTGATTGTCTTGAACGCGGGCCAGCTGCTGTACTCGCACAAGTACGACCAGGCCATGACTCTACGCAGTTGGTCCGCCATGCCACGCAAGTCAATCGCCCACGACATGGTCCGCATCCGTGACAACGAGAACCGTGTTCCAGGTCATGAAAATGCCAAGAAACATGTCAAGACTGTCTTTGACGAAGTCATCTGCGACTCCGATCGTGTTGCAGCCGACGCAGAAGTCTACGTCATCGCTATTGAAGACGGAACGGAGAGTATCTTGAACCTGCTCACGCACGACTGTACGTCTCCTGGCCCTGCTTTCACCTGAGGAGTTTACACTAACGTATTGTTATAGTCGGCAAGTATGGTACCCGTATCACGGCCATGGCGTTCATTCACTCCTTGATCGACGACTCCCAAATCAAAGATGAACAGATTCGCGCTTTCATGCATCAGCGCACACGTCAGTGGCGATTCAGCGATCTGACATGCAACCCCCAGCACTGTGTCGACTTACCGACTGACTACAATCGACAAGTCAACGGGCCTTGTTCTGCAGACACACCATCAACCATACAATCAATCAAGCACATGTCTTGGCACGCTTCGATTCCTACAGGCCCAGTCTCGGCTCTAACGAAGGCTTTCCACAGCCTCGCTCTCAGCGTCACCTCTTCGGCCGGGGCTTCCACTCCAACCGCAACATCAACCTCTACTAGTGGAGAAGAAAGCACAGAATGGTCCTCGGGTCAAGCTGTCATCTGCCCTACCTTCGCGGGCGGCGACAATTCGGTTGGTGAATGCATCTTTACCTACCCTCCCACCCAGCATGCCATTCTCTCTTTCTTCCAAGACGTCGCGCAAGACCCGGTCCACTATCGCAACCCACCTGGCCTCCAAATCTTTACCGAAGCCCCCAAGCCCAGCCCCGAAAATCCTCTTGCACTATCTTCAGACCACGAGAATGACGCTGGGCTCTACTTGCAAAATCTCTTGCCGCAGACGACGTCTGAGCACGCTGAGCTAGATGAAGCTCGCGAGCGGCTCGCCGAGTTACAAGTTGCCTTGTCTGCCTGCCCTACTGATGCTGCAGAGCTAGACAAGGGTCGCGTGAAGTTGGAAGTTAAGGTGAAGAGCATGGAGGCGAAGATTGAGTCTTTAGAGATCAAGGCGCTGAGTCACGGCGGACTGGCCGCGGGTGAAGTGGTCGAGAAGCGCGAGGATTGGAAGCCGCAGGTTGAGGGTCCCCAGGTACCATTTGCAGGGACCATGGTGGATAGTGAACTGTTGAAGGCGGCGGGGCTGATGGAGTCTGTGGATGAAGAAAAGGCTTTTGTTTGAATGGCGAATGGCAGCTCTAATCGTGTAGCGAAGATGAGGGGATGATGGCAAGTCCCGGATGGAAAGGACACAAAAGCGTTTGTTTTTCAGCCATCCTACGCACCACGAACTCCTCCTCTTGTCACGTCAGCACGAGGAAGACGTCTTTTGGCTGCTCGGCGATGGAGTTAGGGTCATCTACCTTATTTGCATCATGTCCTTGAGAATAAGACCACAGCCTCAATCTCGCTTATCGTTGTCCTCAGGCCTAGGTTCAGTACTCAACTGATTCCCGTTATAGAACTGTTGAGGTACATCTCTTGCCCGCTGGTCCGCCAGCGTTCTTACCCTCATCCCACCCGAAGTTGCCTGATCCAGCACAGGATCGTGACTGGGATCCCGGGTAGGTCTGCTGCCCATGGTACGACCACCACCGCCATGGTTGTTACTGCTACTACCATCACCACCTTGCTCGTGTTGCGCCCCGTAGCCTATAACGGAGCTGATGGTACTCCCCACGTAGCCAACAGTAGAAGTGAGAAGCCCAAAGGCCCCGCCAACGATGCCCGTCGCGGCTCCTGCTATACCTCCTCCAGTGCCCCCGGAATACGCATCCGAGTAACCCTTTACTGGCACCAGTACCAACGTCGCACTGGGCGCTAGATCAATATCGCCCAACTCGACGGCCTCGTCGCCGGCAGAGAGCTCACGACTGGGCGATGGAGCGAGTATATGTCGGAAAAAGTAAGGAGGCAGTTGTTTGTTGTTGATGTTCTCGTCATCCTGGGTCAATTTCCCAAACTCAGTGTCAACCCAGGACCGCACGTCAGTCTGCAGGGTGGCGGAGCGAGGGAATGTAGAGCGAATGGTGCGGCCATCGAACAAACGAACATTGAGAGCGACGGTTTTGGAGTTGGTGCCTCGCGAGGACGTTGGCACTGGCTGTGATGTGTCGGGGGCTCGTAGTGCGCCCTTGTTCCTCTCCTTCTCGCGTTCTGCTTTGCGCAATTCGGCATCTACTTTGCGCGCTGCTTTGTCGGCTTCTATTCGTGCTTTTATACGGGCTATCTCTTCGGCATCTTCTCGTTTCTTCTTTCGCAGGGCGTCGCGGGCTTCTTGTTGGGCTTTGGTGGCGGATGTGGATGGGAGAGTGGGGTGCTGGGAGCCTGTGGCTTTTTGCTTGCCTGGTGTGTTGGACGTGAGGGTGGGTAGTGAGGTTTCGGGGAGGCCATACAGGTCGTCTTCGGCTGCAGCATTCGCTATACTATTCGTAGGTTCTGGTGTGCTTGCTTGTGGGGGAGAGGTTGGTGCTGCGTTGGAGGCTGGGATGGGATTCGCTCCCAGGACGCGTCGGATTGAGTTGATAAAGTCATCTCTCGTGGCATCGTTCTTGAGTTGAACTTGGAGTTGGCCGTTCTGGATGACGACGAAAGTGGGCACGCTCGAGACATCGGAGAAGGCAGCCAGAAAACCGGCTTCGGTCGAGCCCGCTTCGAGTCGCAGGACGACCGCTTTTTGGTGGAGCAGAGTCGACAGCTAAAAATGCATCATCAGCGCGTGTTGTGAAAACCTGGCCGAGTCCCAACGTACCCATCCGCTCTTCAGCCACTCGCCTTCCCACTCGTGGCTCGTGGCGCCGTCGTCTACGCAGCTAGTCAGTCACGATGCTTCCCAGATTCCGATAGTGCACCGTCACGTACCTCGAACGAAGCAGGCAACGAGTTTCTGCTCCTGAATGGCAAGCGCGATTCCGCTCTGTAGGCTGCCTTGGTGGAACATGTTGGTGGGTGGTGGTGGTGGCTCCATGTCTGCACTACCGCGGGGATTAGCCTGGGAACCTGCTCGGCGCGTGGTACCGTGGCCAGACGACGCACGAGCATGGCCGGCGGCCGTCAGCGCCCGCTTCATTCAGTGGCTTATTCACACGGCGTTGGAGATGTGCAAAGGGAAAAGATGCAATAAACAGTTCTATCGGTAATGCCAAGCCCATGAATCCTCCACGCCGAAGAAGGGTAATGCTGCAATAAGCCAATGCTAGACTCGCTCTATATCCAAACATCAAGCCAGAAGGTGCTGCACAGCATGTGCCCCTTCTGCTTGGTCCCGCCGTTCCGCTTGGGCTTCCCAATGATGCCGACCGTGTACAGTGTCGGGAGTGAGTGGCATATCCAAGTTGTTGGTCTTTTCCCAATCAGGCCAAAGCCGTGGCCCCTGGGCCCTGGTATCGGCTTATAGGATGGTGCACTTCTTCTTGTTCTTGGTCGCCGACTGCTGGGGACGGGGGCTGAGGACGGCGCTGGGGCAGGTTAGGACAGTCATGCAGGGAGCACATGGGAACATACCGAATAGCTTCGTCAAAGACACTCTTCAGGTTGCGCTGTGTGAGGGCGGAGCACTCGAGGTACTTCTGCGCCTTGATCTCTTTTGCGACCATGACGGCCTGCTCGTACTGGATGGGCGCCATCTTCTTCTGCCTCAACGACTCCTTGGTCGCCTCATCGTCCCTCAGATCGAGCTTGGTGCCGACGAGGATGATGGGAACGCCGGGCGCGTGGTGATCTATCTCAGGGTACCACTGGCAGGGGGTTAGCGGGTGCGCACGCGGCGTGGCGGGCGGCTTGGTACCTTTGCCTTGACGTTGTCAAACGACGGGGGGCTGACGATGGAGAAGCAGATGAGGAACACGTCCGTCTGGGGGTACGAGAGCGGGCGCAGTCGGTCGTAGTCCTCCTGGCCGGCCGTGTCCCACAGCCCCAGGCTTATGGGCTTCCCGTCGACCATGACATTTGCCGAGTAGTTGTCGAAGCTGGGCGAGTTAGCTCACGCGTGGTGCAGCGAGGGGCGGGCGTACACGGTGGGGATGTACTCGCCCGGGAAGGCGTTGGTCGTGTACGAGATGAGGAGACATGTCTGCGCGGTTAGCAGGCTGCGCGGCTGTCGCGGGGGCGGCGAGGCTCACCTTGCCTACAGCGCCGTCGCCGGTCACGACGCACTTGAGCGATTGCGTCGCGGGAGCAGCCATGGTGCGCGAGGTGTCGCCCGGGGAGCGTGGCTTTGGCGGACCCGGTTCGGCGGAGCAACGGGGCGGCGAGGGTGGAGCGGATCGAGTCGGGCGCAGGGCAGGGCAGGGCAGGCAGGCAGGCAGGCAGGCAGGCAGGCAGGCAGGCAGGGCAGGGCAGGGCAGGGCACGATGCAGATGCAGCGAGGCGGCGCGTGGGAGGTAGAGGACGCACCGGCGAGACTGCGCAGCACGATGCGGGTAGCAGGTAGCTTCTGTGAAGGCGCGGGAGCTATCTGCAGCGTAGGGGGGCGTTTTATCGCTTGGCAGGCGGCGGGTCACGAAGCGAGCTGGAGCTGGAGCGACCAAGCTCGACGAGCGCGTACCCTCTTGAAACCCTTGTGCAACACGCTGCTCACGCCTGCCATCCGCCGTGCTAGCTAGCTACGGGCTCGTGCTACGCCTACATGCTTCAATACCACACAAACAGTCCCTCGCCGCCTTGCCTGTCCTCGCCCACCAGCTGCTTGCACACCACCAGCCTGACCACGGCCTCGTGCAACTCTCTCATGTCGAGAATGCCGCGCTTCTTCCCGTCAATGTACGACACGTCCACCACGACTCGTTTCAAGTTGGCCGTCGACAAGGCTCCCTCTTGCAAGAGCGCTATCAACCGATCCGGTGTCCCAACCCCGTAGTCGATTCTGCTCTTGCTCAAATGCGCGACCTGGTCTGCGAGCTTCAGGTGCTTTGCAAACAGTTTGGCTACGCTGGGCTTCTCGACTCCCTGGGTAGGTAGCCCAGACTTGAGACATCGGCAGACGTCTGCCGCTCGCATCCCAGAGCCCGTCACTACAAGCGTGTGGGGAGCGCCGGGCGGCTTGCATGGCGTCGCCTCCAGCGTCCCTGCCTGCTTCTTGAGAAAGGCAGGCAGCTTGTCTGTAGTTCGCGGCTCCGTCCAGCTGCTACTGTCCTGCACCGTCCGCGCTGCTTGACGTCAGCATTTCACGATCTGTCTCGGGCGCTCAAACACTCACCAGAAATCCACAAGTCCTCGAGCTCGACACTGCTCAAATCCTTCCCGTAAAGCCGTGTTCGTGCGTTGACATAGTCGGCAACAAGCTGACCATCCATGCGCTCGAAAGCGTGATTGACTCCCAGCCCTTGGTCCAGATCGTCTTCAGAAATCGCCTTTGCTTTCTGCTTCTTCTTCTCTTTGCGTTTGGCCTTCTTGGCTGCTTTTTTGCCGTCCTTGCTGGCTTCGGGCTCGGCTTGCCGTTTCCTTTTCTTCGACGACGCGTCAAGATCGAACTGGGCTTCCATCAGGGGCACGCCTCCCTCTGATTCCGAGTCGGACATGGTGAGACTAGTGTTTTGTGTGACGGAGCGACACCTGAGTTTGCGACGGAAAAAGTTGCAGCGCATCGAGCTTCAGCTGCTATCGATAAGCGGCTAGCGCAGATGCACGCCGGGGAAGTCGCGTTACCTTGGTAAGCGACGCGTTTCCCTGACGCCCATCAACACCCGCCTGGGCACCCACCTCGCCCCTCGCATGCCTCTCTTGCCATGGCCGAGTCTGCGCGCAAAACGCAGCGCCTTCCCCCGCGGCGCGACTTGCAGCCGACACCCGACAACGACGCGTCCATGGAGCCCACGACACCCTTCCACCAGGCCACTAGTGTGGGCCCTACTCCAGCGAGCAGACGGACGCCAGCTCTTCGCACACCAGCATCGGGCGCGACACCGCGGGGCGGACCCGCAGCTCGCCCTCTTCCTTCGCGCAGGATTGCACCCACTACTCCCCACGCGATACGAGCCCTGAGAGAGCGAGCCAATGCGGCAAGGACGCCAGGAAACACCCGGAGACGAAGCGGCCGCGTACAGAGGGAGACACCGCGGGACATACTGCGCCATCTTAGCAGAGGTACGGCTCTTGCAGCCGCCATCTCTCACCTAGCTAACTGTCCATGCAGCCCTCGCTCGTGAACCGCGCCCGGCCCAGCCCTCCCCACAAGCCCTACCTCGGCGAACGCGCCATTCCGCCCTCGACCTTCCAGACGTCGAAGACGGCCCTGCCATGCCTGCGCCCCGTCTTTCAATGCCCCTGGAGAACATGTACGACGACGACGATAGTTTCCACAGTGCCCCACCACGGCAGTCTCTCCTACCAGACCTACCAGACGACGTCGATGGCGGGACCGTACAATCGCTCGAGTTTGGACGGCGAGCCATCAGTGAGGATCCACGCTTCATGTTCACGGGAAGGCAGAGTGAGCGATTCGGCGACCTAAGCGAGCTCGGGGCGGTCCAGGAGGAGTACGAGGTCGATGGCACCTTCATCAACACGCGCGCAGATGGCCTCTTTGATCCTGCAATCGACGAAGCTCTAGATGGAGACGAAACCACAGTACAAGCACTGACCGGGCGAAGAGACGCAAGGCCGAGTGAGGAGGATTTGGGCGTATTTGGAGAGGCAGAGGACGATTTAGAAGAGCCTACCTTCCGCTTCATGATACCGGAGCGCATGCGTGTGCCAGCCCAAGAAGACGTACAAGCATTTCAAGACGAGCGGGAAGAAGACGAACAAGAGCCGGATGACGAGCTTCTGCACCAGTCCGATGATTACGACTCACTCAATAGCGACGACAAGGACGGAATAGCTGCTGCTTTCGACGGCAAAGACCAAACAGTAACCGCCGGCATGTTAGGTTGGGCATCAGATCCCCCTGCAGACAACGACGCCGAACTAGTCGCCTATCGAGAAGAAGAATCTGCAATTGATCGAAGCCTGCAGGCCAAGTCGCCCAAGCAAACACATGTAGCCCAGATGAAGAGTGTTCGCAAACCGAAAGAATACATGGTATCCGAACACGGTATCGGCTTCCCCTCGTTTCCAGCCGCGCCTGTCAAGAAGCTCACTTTGAGCTTCTTGAAGTCGCAGGGAGGCAAGACCCAACTCAATACGGAAACACTCGACGCACTCGTACGCACGACCAACGACTTCTTCGAGCAGATTAGCATAGATCTCGCAGCATATGCACAGCACGGTGGACGAACGACGATTGAAGAAAGCGATGTCATCGCGCTTATGAAGAGGTATGCTGCTCTACTCGACTCTGTTTGGCGTACATGGCGTGCAGACTTATAGCAGACATATACGTTCGGTACACTGACTTTCAAGCAGGACTCGCAAGACCACCGGTACCTGTACCTCGTTTTCTCTGGCGCAAAGGATGCTTCCTAGGGAGTTACTTCAGCAGCTGCGTATGGAGCGTCCGGCCAAGTTGAAGAGATATAAACGGAAACGATTGAATGCTGTCCGTGAGGAAGACGAAGATGACGACTGAAAAGGCACGGTAATGTCTCACGACCAATCAACGCTGTGGCGTACTCTCCGTTGGGTGCCCGACATGGGCTTCTTGACGACCATCCAAAACATGACTGAGGTCGCGAAACTGAGCGCGTACCTACTTGGAGTTAGATGATTGCTTGCAGGAAAAGAGCGAGGCGGCGAACCGTACCATGTGAAGATGTACTGCGTGTGGTTGTTTCGTAGGTTCACGGTGGGCGCCCTACCAATCGGTACGCCCTTGGGTTCACGTTCATAATTTGTGAGCAAATCAGGCGCTGTGTCATAGTTAGATACCCCAATCACATCATCGAAAAAAGATAGATTACTTACTCATCGTCTCCTCCACCCACACAGCCTGACTCCCGCTATACTCGGCCATCTCCTCGACACTGGGAAAGAACCACTTTCCCTTTTCCGGCTCGTTTTTCGGCGTAAACATGTTGCCCTTGGGCGGTATCCTCAACAAGCCCTCAATCGTAACCTCACCCTCAGGCAACGCCCCATTCTTCTTGCGAAACCACTGCGGCGCAGCGTCCTTCTTGATCCACCCCCTACACGCCAATATCTTATGCACATTGCCGCGCGCATCCCGCCGTTCGAGCGGCGTAACAACCGTGTACCCCTCTTCGCCATCCAAAATCCGCGGCCCAATCAACATTTCCTGATCATGTCTCAACACGCCCCTCGCATAGACCCTGCGATAGTCAAAATCCTGAATTGCAGCCGGGTCGATTCGCAGCGGAAGTTCGAGAGGCGGGAAGGTCAATCTATCTTCAAAGCGGGCGACTAATTCGGTTTTCCAGCCCAGACGCTGCACTTGCCAGCATCCTAGTATGAAGGCTGTGACGGGGATTATCGCGAGGATGATTAGGCCGGGCCCATGTTGTTTTCCTACTCGCGCCATCTTCGCCGGCCGGTCGAGAATCGAGACGAAACTTGGGTCCAGGCCGGGGCCGCCGCCCACTCGGCGACTTTGTGAGCGGAGGAAGAGGATGCGTGTGTGCGGACATTGGGGTCGCGTGGGTGGGGGACGGGCGTGGGCGGTGCGGAAGAATGCCGATGCGGGCTGTGAGTAGTATCGCCGGAAAAGATTGAGGAATGGATTTGGTTTCGACATGGCGGGTGGTTGGGTGGATGGAAAGTTGGGAGTAGCTCAGTCGTGTCGGATATGCGAGCTGCGAGCTACCCGGCTGCTAGACGCCGATGCGGTATGGTTCCCGCGTCTTAGCACCCGCCAACCTAAGCCTGGCTCTGGGCTGATCTCGACCTCCCATCGCACTGCTCCTCTTACATCACTCTTTTTTCACTCCCATCCATGCAAGACTGCAACATCATGGCGGATGCACAGGACCCACCAATGGATCGAGCAGAGATGGCTGCGAGGCGGAATAAAGATGCGCTTCTTGATGTTTTGGATACTCGACTTGAACACTATTTGCATACACTGCATGAATATCACGACATTATGCAGCAGCTTTCCGCAGAGCTATCCTCGGTAAGCAATGTTTACGTTTGGTTAATGGCACGTGGTGTTGATGCCAACAAGGGTTACATGTCGCTTGCTCAAGCAAACTTTTACAATTCGTCCTCTGCGATCCGTTACGGACAGGACTGCTATGACGAACGTATGCAGAGTGTACGCAAGGTGTGAGTTCTACAGTTTCCTTCGAGATTTCATAGCTACCAGGGGTGCTACAACGATCCTCTGGAATGTCTATCTACCTTATGTGCTCTGTTGACAGACCACAGCCATGTCTCCGAACACGGATGTACCAAGAAGAACGATCGACCCCATTTTTCCATCAAATCTTCCGCTACCACTCGCCAGGACGCGAGCCTTGACAACCACATGAGATCAACAGAACAAGCGAACGAAATCCAAGGACCGGGCCTCCCTTCCACAGGTTCAGAAGCTAGAGAAGGAGAAACAGGCCCTACTTCCGATTTGGATGACGAGCCCGCCCAAGGATCAAGGGACAACCAAGAAGAAACCGGATCTGTCGGAAAGCCTACAGATCCTCTCAGATGGTTTGGTATCCTTGTTCCGCCCGCACTACGTACTGCGCAATCTACATTTGTAGGTGCAGTCGAAGGTCCAATCCCCCAATTAGCCACCGTTGTGAGAGATCTACGGGCCCAAGAGATCGAAATTGGGAGGGTGAGGAAGCAGATTAAAAAAATGTAGAGACGAGTCAGGTGCTGCTTGTGGGGATATTAGGGAAAATCGCGCATGAGCACTGGGTTGCGCGCATTCGATATCGTGACTCGGGTTGGCTGCAGATTGTTGCGCGTACTTCAGACTAATCAGTAGCATTACGCGTTGTCGCAACTCTATATTTACTCTCGGCACTGGTTTATGCCGACTGGAGACAAGAGTAGCTCTGGATGGGCGTATAATATGCGATGATTCACCTCCGCTGTATTGGTGGTCAGCCGGAGTAGCATAATAATTTGGTCGTTTTATTCCCATGTGTGCTGGAAGGGGAAGGCCCACTAGACTTGGGACGATTTCTTTCTCGATCATGAAAACTTTGCCAGATCAAGATAGTGGCGCGAGCTGTGCCACCTTTGTTGCTTGTAAAGCAATCATTCATATTGCCAAATTCACGGATATTGCCGGAGAGGGTTACATCAAGGTAGTAGCCATGAGCCTAGTGCTACATGCATCCACATCGTATGGGTTTCAACATTGGTGTAGTATGAACCTCGCCCTATATACAGTCGCACGCTCACCTAGATATCCGCGTTCCTCAACCCTCGTTTGAACCTATCCAACGCCCTAGCTTTCGTTTCTTTCCAGTCCACATGCGGTTTTGGATAACCCAGCTTTTCGAACTCGCTCTTTGACAACCTCGCGTAAGGAGCAAATACCGCCTTTCCCTTGACATCTTTGAGCTCTGGGATCCATTTACGGATATAATCACCATCGGGATCGTTCTTCTCAGCCTGAGAGACGGGGTTGAAGACGGTGTAAGAAGGCTCCCAGCCTTGGGTATTGTTGGAAAGGTCCCAGTCAATCAGAGTTTCGGCAAAGTAGCGTTCGCCGCGGCGGTAGTCGAGCAGGAGGTTGCAGTAGAGATAGGAGGACACGTTCATACGTAAGCGATTATGCATGTATGCCTCGGCTTTGAGCTGCCGCATCCCAGAATCGACAAAGGGTTCGCCTGTTTTGCCTTCATACCATTTCTCCCAGCCTGCTTGGTCGTCTTCCCACTCTACTGCGTCGAATTTGAGATTCTGTGGGAGGTTCATGGAGGTGTGTGGCGTAGTCATGGTTGTCTGTCTGTAGAGTTCTCTGAAAACAATCTCGCGGACCCAGCCGTAGACGCCATTGGATGCCTTGGCTTCGGTAAAATCGGTACTGCCGCGATTGTAATCTACAACTTTCTGCAGTGCTTCGCGTACGGAGAACATGCCCGCACTAAAGTAGGCAGACATGCGTGACGTGCTATTTGCGGCAGGATTTGAGCGTGTAGCGGCGTAGTGGTCAATTTGCTTTAGGAACGCATCCATTCGTTTTGCTGCTGCATCGTGACCGACAGGCCACAGCTTCCGTATCCTCTTTTTGTCTTCTTCCGACTCGAATTGCTTGTCTTTTGCAGGCTGGGGTACGACTGTATCGAAGAGGCTTTTTAGCTCCTTCTTCGCAGAGGGGGGATTCGCGGTAGGTGGAGGGTTAGTGTCAAGCAATTCCGGCTCGTCTTTCAGCCTCTCGAGCCACGCTTTGAAGAAGGGTGTAAAGACTTTCATGGGTGTCCCAGCACCTGTAAGCATTGTGCCAGGCTCGACAACGGTCTGGTCATGATACAATGAGACTTGAATACCATCTCCAGCTGTTTGGCAGAGTTTCAAATCCCTCCGCATCTCATCAATCTCGTACTCCAAGTTGCCAAACACGTGTGAAATCTCCCACTTTTGCATCCAATCCACTGCTGTCTGTACAATCTTCTTCCTATCCTCGCACTCTAGAAAGACTAGTGGTATGTTCAACTCCTTGAGCTCTTTCTGCATGATGCGCAATCCCTCGCACATGAAATCGACCCTTGCGGGGCTAGTCCCATGCCACGACTCGTCTGCAGCGCAATTGACGTAAAAACATACGAGAGGCTTGCTCGCACTTTGGGCAAGCTCGGAAGCATGATACAGCGCGGTGTTGTCTTGAATGCGGAGATCTTTTGGACGAAACCAATGCGCTACCTTTGTCACAACCTTGATTTCCTCTTGTGCACCGAGGGCTTCTTGAACTTGATCGTAGGGAAGATTATCATCTACTCGTTTCGCGCGTTTGAGAGTCGTATGCCCGAGTTCGGAGCGTTCGTATGATGTTCTTTTGGACATGTTCGTATGGGTCTGGGATTTGTTCGGCTGTGCGGGCTTTTTTGGCGGTGCTCTACTTTGGAAAAGAGTCGCGTGTTGAAACGCGCGGATCGGTAGTCGTACTTTGACACTAACACATCTATATTGAGCAGCTGCCGGCCTAGGTAGAGTTTGCAATAAGAAGACGCGTTCGAAGGAAGGCATTGAACATGCGCTCTGCGCTTAGGCGTACCTTTGTACCTGATCATCGATAAACCTTAGACTAAGGGTTCAGAGTGGTGACGTCGGCGGACCACCCAACCACACCAACTAGAGCCGATCAAGACGTTACCCTGATGGACACCTGGCGTCGAACACCAATCGAAGGCATGCCTATCGGCGTTTCAGATACAAGATCTGGAGAGATCCTTGGTTCCCGCTGCATTTCGCGATCTGTCGCCGCTTCCTGGGATTTTGGTGCTTTGCATAGGGCTGCATTCGATTCAGGGTTCCAGGCGACGACGGTGGATGTGAGCACGCGACAAACTACGTTGCTAGTGCGAGGTGTTAATGCGACCGACATAATTCCGCTCTAACGCGCAGACAAGGAGTTGCATAATTTCCATGTTGGAGTTTTGTTGGTCTGACAGATTGACCGCAGCCGAATCATGCCAGCCGGGCACGGTGCCTAGTTGCTGACACGTGATGCGAGTCTTTCGGACTGCGATCAAGCTCTCTTCCTTGAGCTCGTCGGCACCATATCCGTCGACGAGCTAGGCTAGCAAAGCTTTGTCGTGTTGTGTCGCTGGCCCTCACTACGATGGCGAATGGAATTGCCCCGTCCGGAGCACACCGTAGGCATCGAAATCCCAGCCGCTCGCAATACCCCATCGCCAAGGGAAAATCTACGGGGATACCAATTTTGGTTTCCACGAGAGAACCATTGAATAGCGAATCAGATCATAGCTGTGCGGAACGTGACGCCAAGATGTACCAAGCCACGCCAAGTCCTCATCCTCCAGCCTTCCATTAACTGGCAGAAACGTGCATGTCTTTCCCAATGAGGCAGCTCGTTAAGATTCTCGATGATGACAGTGGCTCGCGGCGCGGACCAGGCCAGCGGAATGGGGACTGGGCCCAGGTAGCCGGAGTCTTCCTCTCGAGCAGTAAGAGCGCTGTGTTATCGCACGAGGGACGGGAAAAGGCACTTAATGCACCTTGTACTGCAGAGGAAGGCATGCCTCGGGTATGAAATGTGGACGCTAGTAGCTAGATACGCGGGACATAGTCTGATTCGTCTTGATACATGTATGCAGGTCCGGGAAGCTCTGTGAGCTTATAAAGGTTGGAGCAACAGCTTCCCAGAATGTCGGTTCATCGCACTTTTGAGAGTCTTGCCCACTTACTAATCTCTCAATCGCGTTCGTTATGAAGTGTACATGCTCAGCTGTCGTGGCTGCAGCCCTTTTGGTCGGGTCTGTCTCCGCGCAGACATTCCGCCGTCTGGGAGCTTGCCCAACGCTCGGTTGCGTGTTCCCTCCTGACCAGTAAGCATGCAGATTGAACGAGCTCAGAGAGCTCAATTGCTGATACACAACTCAGGGCCGACTTTCTTGCGGGCCAGTACTTCGACATCCGTCTAGAAGTTCACCAGCCAAGGAACGGATCCGAGTTCATCGGTCTACCTCTGGATGAGCAGTTTACCTTCACTCTTGGAAAGAAGGGCGAGGAAGCGAAGCTAGTAACAGAGTTTTTCAACCTCGAAGAACCCAAATTGGAGAAGTGGAACTTCACATGGTACGAAGACCTCTTCGCACGCGACGCTCTGAGGCCCTCCCTCGTCAACGTTGCGGCTAAAGCCTACCGCCGCATCGCTCTTTACGAACCTGGCGAGTACACTGCTACCCTCAACTATAACAATGGAAGCAAGACGGAAGCTACTTGGCTCGTTCGCGACCTGGCTGAGGAGCGCAAGGCCAAGAACATCATTCTCTTCATCGGTGACGGGATGACCACAAACATGATCACAGCTGCTCGTTTGATAGGCCATAAGCAGGTCAACGGCAAATACCAATCTCTCATGGCCATGGACAAATTCCCTGTCGTTGGCCACCAGATGACCCACTCGATCGATAGCTTCATCACCGACTCCGCTAACTCTGCTGCTGCGCTCAACACTGGTCACAAGTCAACAGTCAACTGTTTGAACGTTTATGCGGTACGTGTCTTCCATCTCGTTGCGCACTTGTATACATCATCATTTTACTAACAAACAGTATAGGACAGTAGCAAGGATCCTTTTGACGACCCGAAAGTCGAGAGCATTGCTGAGATCTTTCATCGTCTTACCGGAGGTCACGTAGGAATAGTATCGACAGCATACATTGCGGATGCTACCCCCGCTGCCTTGGTATCACACACCCGTCTCCGTAGCCAGTATGGAGCTATCGTTGATACCTACCTCAATGGTGTCCAGAACTACACTTGGACAAACGTTCCTCTCGATGTCATTTTCGGTGGTGGCGCCGAGCAGTTCTACCCGTCTGAACTTGGAGGTGTCACGTATCAGGACAAGAACTACTATGATGAGTTTGCCGCGCAGGACTATCAGATCATTCAGAACCGCACTGCTCTGCTCTCTGCCAGCAACGAGGAAAAGGCTCTCGGTATCTTCACCACCTCCAATATGGCCAAGTGGCTCGACCGCAATGTCTACCGTGACAACCTCAACCAATCGCTTTCCCCTACTGGAGATGAGACACCCGCTCTTGATCAGCCGGGTCTCAAAGAGATGACCCTCAAGGCCATTGACATCCTCGAAACTCGCTCAGGCGACAAAGGATGGTTCCTTATGTCAGAAGCCGCCAGCATTGACAAGATGATGCACGCTCTCGACTATGATCGCGCACTCGGTGAACTTCTCGAACTCGACGACACGGTGAAGGCCACTATTGACCACCTCAACTCCACCAACTGCCTCAAAGAGACTCTGATCCTTGTCACTGCCGACCACGGCCATGGCTTCGATGTCATGGGCTCCGTTGACACCCACTATCTAGCTGCTCAAAACGTCGATCGCAAGAAACGGAATGCAATTGGGACGTACGAGCAATCTGGCGAATCCCAATACATCAACACCGGCAATCTGACGTACACGTAAGTTGGAACTATACGAAATGCACGTAAGACATACACTGACATCATACTTTCTCAGAGATTCTAACTTCCCGTCGAATTGGGATCCACGCTACACGCTCTTCCAAGGCCTGATGGCAGATCCCGATCGCCGGGAGAATTGGTCTGTCCGCAAAAATGGTCCCCGCGAGCCCGCCGTCGAAATCGAAGAAGATAGCAACGACAACTACGCTAACCCCGAGGATGGCGAGGGCGGTATCTTGCTCAATGGTACGCTGCCTGTCGAGAACGACCAAGGTGTGCATTCGTTGACGGATGTGCCTGTCTATGCCATGGGCCCATGCCAGGAGCTCTTCCAGGGGACATACAACAGCATTGATATCTTCTACAACATGGCGACTTGCTTTGGCCTAGGAAGAGGCAAGCCTAGTACTGAAGAGTAGAGCGTCTTTCTAGATGGGTGTTGAAGAGAGAGGGGCTCAGGCCTCATGACGACGTGGACGATGATCATGTTGTGGTAGTACTAAAATCACGTCTACTCTAGAGTAGCTGTAATGAATTCTTGGTGATGATATTACTTCGTGCAACATTTGAGTTGTCCTTGGTTCGAGCATAAAGTGTGTTCACACAACTTCATCGCAGGAAAAAGCTACCACGGAAAGTGATGTGAAAAAGTCTTTAGTTGCTTGTCGCAATTGCCATAGTTATCAGAATTTGATCATTCATTAGGTTTTACGTATTGGGGTGGAACATGAACAGACGGACGCTGCCTGAAAGCGTCACAGTGTTGTTATGTAACCAATATCCTGAGAAGGTCTTTGGTTTTGGTTGTCACTAGATAAGCCACTGTGGAGCCAAATGCTATCACAGTTCATGGCAACAGCACCCTAACAACGCAGTTCCTGAATGTTACGGCCAACCAAGCAGATTGCCTCGCGCCTACTAAGGTTTCCACGGGTATCGGTAGCGTCCATCAGTTCCGTAACGAACGTAAGGCTCGACTTCACTTGGACGAAATCATTAGCACCACTTGATAAGAATCTATCCTCACACCGAGAGCAGTGTATTCTCACAACTCCCGCCTATTCTTGGCCAGTTCAGCTTGTTGGCGTAGGTTCGGCGCCGTGGTGCTAGCCTCGCCGCTTTGAACGCCCTGCTCCATATCGGCAGCCCACAACGCAGCGCCAACGGTGTTTGTGAAGGAAAAGAAGATTCCGGCAATCGGGACGAGTTCGAGGAGGACAGCTGGGATGCCGAAACTATGCAAGGTTAGTGGTCTGAATATGACTACACGTAGACGGACCGACCTAGCATATGCGGCCTTGCGCTCGTCAATGAAGCGCTCCTTCTCCTGCTTCTTCATCTGCTTGAGTTGGAAGTAGCGGGCATGTGCGGTGGGACCAAACTTGCGTCCTTGGAGGATGACGAATAGTACGGTGCCCACGACTGGGATGAAGTTGAGCGGAAGGTACATGAAGTATCGGATGATGGCGCTGGGGGCGAATTTCGCGAAAGGCTTCGAGACGAGCTTGCCCAATTTTGCGACGGGGTCGCTCCCTGACTTTACCTGGCGCTCTTTGGAAACCAATGTGGTCTGGTTACGGCTGACCAAGGTTGAATCAAAGGTATCAATAAGCGCTTCGTCAATGAGGAAGTTCTTGCTGAGAACCGAGAAAATAGTGGACGACTCGCTGAGTACGAGTAGAACCGTGGTGAAGACTGCGAGTGGTCCGTTGAAAAGGGTGAGAAGTGCGACTTGGGGAATGTATGTGACGGCAAACATGAGCACGGTGACACCAAGACCGAGCGAGACAGTAGGGACCAGTTTCGCAGCGAGAGGCTTCCATAGAGCACGGTGTGTGAAGAAGTACGCAATGCCCTTGGGTCATGTCAGTGTTGTGCTTTGAATGCAATCCCTTAGTGTGGTCGAGAGGGCCGAAAAGCACTCCCAGACCGGCCTCTCCAGGCAAACGTCGATGCAATGTAGGTAGCAAGGATTCAGACGCGTACCTTGAAAGGGTAGAGATATGCGGCCGAGCGAACAGCTTCTGAGGCAAGCTGTCTAGCTTGGTTGAAGTCTTCCTTGGCGACTTCCTTGACCTTGTCGGGTACTCTCACTCTGGACTCTGACATGGTTGCAACGGATAGATCGGAAAGGTTAAGAAGATTAGGAAGTAGGGAAAGGCGTCTGAGTCGTGATGGAAGACAAGTGGTGTTCCCTTGCCCAGGTGTTGGTGGGGTGAAGCTATGGAATGTGGAAAACTACGTCATAATCGCGTACTTGGCCCAAGCTCCAATCCTAACAACGCGGACTCTGTCCCTGCGCCAACTACGTAGTTTGAGCAGATAACTTGTTACCGCAGGAGAGAAGAAACCCGAGAGATGGTACATGTTTATTGTATAGAATGCCAATAAGGCAAGCTGGGACGGTAGCGGATCAGTGCAAGGCACGTCATACAGTGCTGGTTTTGCGCATTTGCTTTGAGGTGCAGGGAATCCTGCGTAATTGCAATGTCAGGGCAATTTGCTGTCCCGCTGATGCTGCAATAGTTCAGAATAGTCCACCTATGGGCGATGGCTCAGGAATGCATTTCCAAGGCACAAGTTCAGGAGTGAGTCCATGCCGGATTCGCACGCTTCTAGGCCCTTGACAAAGTACCCACCGTGGCCATTGTGCCAGGTAAATGTGGCGGTGTTATCAAGATTTTACAGAAGATCTGCTACAAACACGCGTCAAGGACCAGAAATCCGATGCAAGACAGGGTAAATCAGGAATTGAAGACGTGGCTAAGCTTTCCTCTTCCCCACTTTCCATGCACCGGATCGCAAAATGACGCAGCGCCAGCCGCGTGCTAGCCCCCACCACAACCGAACCGGACATTGGCTAGCTGCATCCGTCGCGAAGCCCCTCATCGAGGGTTCAGCGCTGGAGTGGCTGATGTAATTAGCCAAATCTTGTGGCAGCGGCAGACAGGAGAGAACGCCACGGCAGGTATAAGCTGAGGGATTAGGGAAAGAATACCGACCCATGGCCGGTTGGGGCTTGCAATGGCCACGTTTGAAAACAACAGGCACATCGTGCATAACGTCCGACACGAGTTGAGCCAGGTAGTCACCAGTGGCTGTGCTAGGGGATAGAGCCAAACGCCTCGTATACTCGAAAAAGCTGCGCGGATGTGCAGCCTACGTTGGGATAAAATCAGCAATCCAGAAAGCGTAGCGTCAATGTAGGCTTCAGCGTGGTCAGCACTTCCCTCGATCAAGGTGCCAAGACCAAAGTAGGAAACAGGGATGTGAGCAGTGACTGCCCAGGTGCCGTTTGTACGACGTGTGCTGATGCAAAGGCATGACGTAGGACCATGGGTCTCTCTGACTTTGGCCCTCGCCTGTGGTGTATATATTAGACCACCAGCGCTTGCTTTTGGTGACCATCTACGCAACGACGACCACCACACCCACGCAACACTCTAAGCAACTTCATTCAAGCCCAATCAGCTATCTATACCACCTCTTATTCAAAGTTCACACCGCGATCATGTCAGGAGTGATGGACAAAGTTAAGGCCAAGGTCGACCAGGTGATGCACAAGGACAAGACCCATGGTAAGCACTTCCTGCAGACTGCCGAGGGCCTGAAGACCACCGTCAGCTACTCACACTTCTCTAGATGATCCCACCGGTCCTCACAGCTCTCATACTGCCAACACTGCCGATCCTACTGTACCTAATACTTCCAATGCTACCACTGGCACTGGGGGCTTCTCCGGTACCCACCATGGCTCTGGTGTAAGCACTGGCCTCGGTACTTCTGGTAGCCATGGCGAGCGCAACCCCGAGTACACATCTTCTACCCATGGTTCTACGGGTCTCGGGTCATCAGCCACTCATGGGAGCACTGGTCTCGGGTCCTCAACTACCCACGGCTCTACCTCTCACAATGACCCTACCGGTCCTCACGGCTCCCACACGATGAACAAGGCTGACCCCCGGGTCGACTCCGACCGTCTTGGAAACGCCGGTAACACTGCTGGCGCAGGCGGTTATGGTGCTGGACAGTATACTGAGTCCCACGGCACCCATGGTACTACTGGCAGCGGCCTCACCGGCACAGGGCTCGGCTCTTCGACTACTGGAGCTTACAGCTCAGGTAACAGCAGTGGACTGACTGGTGGTCACGGCACTGCCGATTTCAACGACCCAACTGGTCCCCACAGCTCACGCATGGCCAACCAGGCTGACCCCCGCGTCGGTGGTGTTGGTAGCACTGGAGCTGGCGCATACAACACTACTGGAACCGGTCTCACCGGCCATAGCACTACCGGTGGTCTTGGACACTCCCACAACGACCCTACCGGCCCCCACGGCTCCCACATGGCCAACTCTGCCGACCCGCGTGTTGGGGGTGTAGGTAGCACTGGCGGTCTTGGCCACTCTCACAATGACCCCACTGGTCCTCACAGCTCTCACATGGCCAACTCGGCCGACCCGCGTGTCGGAGGTGTAGGCAGTACAGGCACAGGAGCCTACGGCAGCAACGCTGGCGGCATCGGCTCAGGCAACATGGGCCAAGGAGGATACACCACAGGTGAGCACGTCAAGACCGTCCCAGGGGAGGTCGAGGGAACAGGCCGTGACAACCTCTCTCACCGCAACAACGAGAGTGGCGATCTTCCCAAGGCCCTCACCGAGCCTGTTTCCCACGCTGAGCCTCACTCTTCTCTGCAACATGACCAACACGTTTCAGGTGGCGCTCACGGCACTCATGGTACCACTGATGTTCACGGCAAGCCATCCATGATGGACAAGCTGAGTAAGTCTTCCCCATGCGGTTGAAAGTTGGATTGACGCTGACAAGACACTCTAGACCCCAAGAAGGACGCTGACCACGACGGCAAGACTGGCATCATGGACTAGATTTGTCGTCGTCTTTTTGCCATCTCACTCGTAGTGTGTTGCGAGAGCAAGTCACATGGTGGTTTTGATGGTGTGATTTGCATGAATACCCCCAAGTAGCGTAGTAGCTCAATGAATAGTAATCTCCCTGTCAATTTGGTTCTGTCGCAGTGCTCGCTCTTGATGAGCAATGTTATACTTGTCTGTTATATGCATCCATGATGCTGTTAACATAGATCTGTAATTTCGCATGTACTCGCACATGGGGTATATCCTCGTCAGTGCACTCAGATCAAGTGTATATACTCCGTGCAATGGTGTCGAAATTATAAGAAGTTTGATTAGGGGGTATCATTACTTTTTGCACAAACTTGCCAATGCATACGGCGACCACTCGCTCGCCGTATGACGGGAGTGAATTCAAATATTCAGAGGTTTCGAGATGTGTCGCACAGCCCAATGGACTCTGTGAAAACCCATGGCCATGAAATCACTTGGCTTTTCCCTTGCCCCCCTTCCTGTTTCCTTTACCACCAATCCCTTTCTTCTTGTTTTGGTTCAACGAGCCATCAAGAAGCGCGCTAAAAGTCTCACTCCGCGTCTTGGGCGCGCGATCTGGGGTCGGCACTACAGGCTCGTCTTCCTGTGAGTTTTGCGTCGAAAGCCTCTTGTTCCTCGTCCTCGTTACGCGCTCCTCTGCTCTTGAGGGTGTTGCAAGGCTGACTGTGTCCAAGTCCTGCCTGGTCTTTGTTGTCTTGTTGTCTCTCTTTGCGGGGCGACGGCGCTTTTTGGGCTGCGGTGTGCCGGTATCTGGCGCGGGTTCTTGTTGCGATTCGGCAGCTGCGTCGACGCGAGCTTTCTTGGGAGCCGGCTCTGCTTCGTCGGAGCCTTGCAGGACGTGGCTGTCCGAATAGTCCTCCTGAGCATTGAGCTCATCGACAGCCCTCTTGCTGGACGTGGCGTCAGTAGACTCGAGGGCGTTGCCGTCGGAGTCGAATTTCTTGTTGATGTTTTGAGCCTTGAGGTGGGCGCGGGCCTTCTCCTTGGCCATGCGCTCCTGCCGCTCCAAGTCGTACCTGTCGTTGCCAGCCAGGCCGTGCTTGATGAAGCGTTGGGCGGCGCCAAGGTCTAGTCGCGCTCTGCCCTCGGCGCTGCCCATGACGCCGCGGTCCTTGGTGTGCTTGATCTTGCTGTTGTACTGCTTGAGACGGGCAATTTCCTTGAAGACATGGTGTTGCGTGGCATTGACGCCCGACGCCTTGAGCACGGAGAAGAGAATAGCTTCGATGGCGTATGCGGACATGCAGTAGAACTCTGCCTTGTCGAGGAGCGGGAGAGAGGACGCGGTCGTGTGAAGAGGCGCGGCCAGCAGAGGGTCGAGCGCGGCGGTGAGCTCATCGATGTTGACTTCGAGGTCCTCGACGAGGTCGGGGAGGTCGGTCTGCGGGTCCATGGTGGTGATGGAGGTCAAGCGGTCGCATGCGCACGCCAAAGAAAAGTAGCGGGCCGAGCGCTCCGACGTGCAAGCGTCGGATCGCTCACAGCAGACAGCCTCACTCACTCGCCTCGGCCCCGAAGCCCATGGGAATCCCAAGTCGTTCAAGCTGTCGTTCTCCTCCGTTTCACCCTTTCTCCCCAGGCTCCGGCCTCGGATACCCCACGCACCATCACGATGCGCCGCCGGTAGCCATCGCCCACGCCGGCTGGCTTCCGCTCGGACGAGAGCCTTCATGACGAGCTGGCCGCCAGACGCTACAGCAGGCAGCACGGGCGCAACCAGCCACACGGCCGACTTCTATCGCAGACAGCCTGTACTCGACCGACGCATTTACATAATCGGTGTCGGCAACGTGGGCAAATTCATTGCCCACGCCCTGCGCGGCATACCCAACCCTCCTCCAGTAACGCTGGTATTCGGGGGCTGGCAAAAGTTCAACGAATGGAACGACTCGCAACGCCGCCTGGCCCTCGTCACCGACGGCCGTGTCGACACCAGAGACGGCTACGATGCCGAGCTAGCCATCCCCCGTCTTCGTTACCATGGCCACGAGGTCGGCCTGAATCCCTCCTCGCTAGACACGACCCAAGGCCCTCAGATGCTGCCTGGCGAGTCTGCTGAGCCCATCAGCTCGCTCATCGTCTGCTCCAAAGCCCCCCATGTCCTGCAGGCCATCTCCGCCGTAAAGCACCGGCTGCACAAGGACTCGGTCGTCTGCTTCCTGCACAACGGCATGGGCGTCATCGACCAAGTCAACGCGGCCGTCTTCCCGGACCCTGAGCACCGGCCACACTATATGCTCGGCATCAACTCTCATGGCATGCACGCCTCGCCACACAGTCGCTTCACTACTGTCCACGCTGGTTTCGGCACCCTCTCGCTGGGCATCCTACCCCACCAACGAGACGGCCATGCCAACGAGCCCTACACCCCCGAGTTAAGATTCTCCGCATCAAGAGATGGCAAGCCCGTCTACCCGCACCCTCCCGACAAACTCAATCCAGAGTACCCACCCCCAAGGAGCGCCAAATTCCCCTTCACGCCTAACCAACGCTATCTACTTCGCACCCTCCTCCGCACTCCAGTACTAAGCGCAGCCTCCTTCTCGCCCCCCGATCTCTTGCAAATCCAACTCGACAAGTTAGCCGTCAATTGCATCATAAACCCCCTAACCGCCCTCCTCGACGCGCGCAACGGCGCCATTCTGAACAACTACGCCTTGACCCGCACAATGCGCCTCCTCCTATCCGAGATAAGCCTCGTCATTCGCTCCCTCCCCGAACTCCAATACATTCCCAACGTGTCCCAGCGCTTCGACCCAGGCCGCCTTGAAACCGTGGTTGTGGCCGTTGCACACCGCACCAGCGACAACGTGAGCAGTATGCTAGCCGATACGCGTCAGGGTGCGCACACCGAGATTGACTATCTCAACGGCTGGATTGTGAGGCGAGGCGAGGAATTGGGTATTCGATGTGCCATGAACTATATGGTTATGCAGTTGATCAAGGGCAAGAGCATGGTGGTGCAGCATGACATGGAAGAAGAGCTTCCCCTGGTAGGGAGTAAGAAAGGGGGGAGGGCGGAGGCGGACTTGGTGATTAAGAGGGATGGCGCGGAAGCCCACAAGAAAGGCACACCGTGAGACGGCATTCGTCTTTGACGCTACGGCCAAACCTTTTGCACAGTTCGACTACACAGCGCTCCACGGGCTATCAGAATCAATACTAGATACAATCCGCAGAGCAGAATGCGCCATCAGTCGCCATGTCCATGTCCCTAGAGCGTAGATCTGCTTATATCCCGGCTTCTGATGATGCACATGTCCACCCAAGAGCCGGCAGGCATAACAGTAGAGCAATCGAAAGAATAGCAGCGTCCTTGTAATTCTCTCGATACCAAAGAAGTAAACGACAGATTGCGATTAGTAGAACTGCAGGCGATGGACATGGTCAATGTGTATATTTCTTCTCCTACTCTTCATCGTTTCTCTTTCTAGTCCTATCTTCCAAGAGCTAGTACTAGATAAAACTATAGTACATTATGTGTAAAGACACACATCCAACATGTTTAGTCAACCAGACCAATAATACTCCTGCCCACCGCAAACCCTTCCCCCAAAGCTTCTTAACCAGAACAAAAGACTACCAGAAGAACTCCCGGTATCCATCAAACTCAAGTTCCCACCATCCCGAGACGAGAACTAGCAGCGAAGATACCTCTCTTGCTATGTGTATATCCGACAGTAACGGGTCCGTAAACCTACCCCTCTAACAAGCCACTGAAGATGCTCAACAAGTAAAGAAAAACAACCAAAGCATTCGCCTCTTACTCGCCGTATACAAACGTCAACTAGGATAGTGTAAGATGATTGAATAAAAGAGTAATGGTCGTGTAAAACTCCAAGCACAGGACCGGTAAACAGCGAGTTACCCTACAAGAATCAGCCAGTTACTGCATCATGTATGGCTCAGTCGAAAGCACCAGGCATGCTCGTACCGGGCATCCTCAAACTAAGTCTACTGCCACCGGCATCCTTCTCTCTGCTCGGCAAAGCAGGTGCAGGGTTCGAAGAGGAGCGTTGACGCTGTAGGCGCGGATCCTCCAGCTTCGTCATTTCCTGTTCCTGTTCAGAGACCGCTGTTGCTTTCCTGGTATCGAGAGACTTGTTCACTTCGTCTTGGAGTTGAGCTTCAGCTTGCTGTTCAATATCCTTTTCCTCTTCCACTGTCAATGAGGGTATTGACGGGGCTGCAGTGACAGACTCATTCTGACTACCGTGGTGAGCTTCGGCTGACGATGTTTCGGCTTCCGGATTGGCGATTGTCTTGGACTCTGAGGTCAAAGCGTCGTTGTGCTTCAAAAGGACCGTCTTGCCAATGGAAATTCTCTTGACCTTATCACCGCTTTTGCTCCGAAAAGGGTCTTCATCGCTCTTCCTTGGCTCATTCGCCATCGACGCAGCAGAACCACCTGCTGTGATGTCTCGAGGCTCAAACGACATGATGCTCTCTTCACTCATCCTCTCTTCAATCTTCACATCGCTGTTCGTGAATGTGGGACTGCGTGGGCCATCTCGCAAAGGAACGAAGGAAGGAACCACACCGCCACCAACGCGAGTCCAGAACATGCGTTCGCGAAGTCGCACACTCTCTTCCCAGGACGACTTCTTCTCTTCATCCGTCTCTGCGCGCCAGTGCCCCGCTGCTACCATGCGTAGGAAACCAATGTAGTCGCACGTTGCCCGAACGCGACCCAGACACCAGTCACACAAGGGGTAGCGCTGAGAGTCTTCAGTATCGGAGGGCTTGAATCGAAATTTTCGGGCGTACTGATCACCATTCCTTGCTTCGCCACAAAGCGAGCATGGAAAGATGGGAACCCGAAATTTGGATGGAGGAGCAGGGTTCGGCTCTACGACCAGGGAACCAGAAGTGATGCTGTTCAGTACCGTGCGGCGTGCCATCCATGAGAGACCGGGGGCGATATCCAGACGCAGTGTTGGCTCTATGTCCTCGACCAGAGCACGTTTATAGAACTTCTCGTCCTTGAGGTTGGGCATACCAGCAGTGGCTACAGATTCGCGAGGTGAGTTGGTAGCCGAGGTGGGCGACTTGGAGGGCAGCGACGTGGTGGAGCTGTTGGTCAGTGATGCCAGTCCCAGCACATTCAGGCTGCTGTAGTTGCCGCTGGATGCGCGACTTGCTGGGGCAGAGGAACGGGCGCTGATCTTGAGCATGTCCTGAAACTCGTTGAAAGCGGCAAGATCGGAGCGTAGTACGGGATGGATAAGATGCGAAAAGTGGAGGGGATGATCGGGGCTGATGTCGTCGGTTCCCGGCGTGGTGGGTGTCAGGTTCATGGCCTCGAACAGCTTGCTCATCTTGTCGGCCGGAGCGATGCCTGGTGTTGACGGAGCGGTGGTTGCAGTGAGAGCGTGGCTTTCGTTGTCGTCGCCATGAGAGCTCATCCTCTCGACAACGGCCTTGAGATCGTGCAGCTGGTCCTGGAGGGAGTGTTGCAGGACGTCAGCGTCGCCCAACTGCTGCTTGAGTTGCTCGCCGCGTTTCTCCGAAGCCTCCGTCTCTTTGCGCGCAGCTGCAACCATGACGTTGGCCTCTTCGAACAGGGCAGCCGTCAGGGCCTCGACTTCGCTGTCCGTCTTGCGCTTGGCAGCTTCTGCGTGGGCTCTGCGTTTGCGCTCCTCGCGCAGCTCCGTGGACAGCTGCTTCTCCATCTTGTCGTAGACGACCTTGTCCACCAGCAGCCCCGTGGAGAGCTTGGCCTCATGGGCCTTGACCTGGGCCTCGAGGTGGGCCAGCTTCTCGCGCGCGGCGTCGAGCTCGTGTCTCGTCTGCTGCAGTGCATCGTCGAGCATGGTGGAGTGATTGATGGCGTTGATGAGCTTGGTGCTGAGGGTCGAGACTTCCTGGCTGAGGTCGGGGTGCGAGTCGGTCGAGTCGTGGCGCGACAGAGGCGGCTGTGGAGTGGCCGAGCGCGGGTCGGGGATGGTGTTGATGCCGTCGCTTTCGGACTGCGATTGCGACTGGGCGGTTTTGGCGAGCTGTGGTGTCGACATGGATCGTGTGACATGGCTCTTGGGCATGGGCGACAGAGAGCGCAGTCGCGAGGGCGTCATTGCACCTGAGCCGTGGACCCAGGGGGCCGAGTGGGCTATGAAGCTGGTGGGAGAATGGACGTTAGCGATGGCCCACGCAGCGCCTCGCTCGGCCAACGTGGACGTACGAGTACTCGGCCATGGCAGATGGCGATGCAGGCAATGTGCTATGTCGTCGCAGGCATGACAGAATCCAACCGAGCGAAACAGCACGAGGGCGCGGCCGGCCGACGGGGTGGACAAGGAGTGACGTGACGAAGAGCGTCTGACAAACACTGCGTGATGGACCTTCAAACAACGACGACGACGACGACGACGACGACGCTCGCGTCGGGCGCCTACGCTCAGATCGCCTCCCAAGCCCCCCGCGCGCGCCGCCGCCAATCACACACAGGCCATGACGCCGCCCGCGCCCGCCCTTGCCTGCTGCAGGCCTGCTTTTCTGCACCGCCACATCCAAGTGGCTGACACGGACACTGTCGCACGCTGATCCAATCCACTTTGGTCACCATGGCAAACACGCCAACCACGAGCAAGGGATACGCATACTCCATTCCACACTAGCTTACATGCTTCATCCCCAAAAGGTTGCTTGTTCAAACGCGACACAAAGAGAAAAGAAAACGACTGACATTATCGCATCGACGTCTCGCACCCCGTCATGACAAGCCGCGAGCCAGCGGTGAATTCCCCCATGTTGTCCACCATGTCTTTCCCCCCTTCGACCTTTCCGCGCTTTCTCCAGTGCTGTTGCCTGTGACGTCCACATAAAACAATGCTCTGATATCCGCCCTCTTGTGTCGCCGCCAACCATGCCAAACGCCAAGGCTAGCCACCGTCGTCGTCGTTGAATCGTCCGGGAAAGAGAGGGCCGACCGTCGTGTCCTTTGTCGTCGTGTGCGTGTAACGGTACTGGAATGGCAAGAATCAACGACAGGATTGTGTACAAATGCCAACGGCCGTCCGCAAGCCCATGGCTGAAAGGGGGTAAGGAAATCGAGATGGAGCGTGTTTCGCGTCGTTCGGCATCGGGTCTCGGGGGTGGGCTAACGATTGCCATCGTCTAACGACGCCCAAACCTGCTGTAAGAGAAGTTCGTATTGATTCTGAATGAGTGTGGTCATGGCTACTTCTAGCTTTTCTTGGTGCGAGGAGACGCTGCTCTGCCGCTGCCAAGGCTGGGGACGTACTTTTGTTTCTTCTCTGCGGGCTTGAGAATCTGCATACCCCATTAGTACCTGTTCGACGTAACCTTGTGCGCCTAGAGCTTACCTGGAAGGAACACAGCAGACTCTCGTCAACGCTCATCATCGCGCCAGCGTTGTCAAATTCACCGCAGTAGTTGGGTGCGCTGAACAGTGTTACGAGCTGGCGCTTGGAAAAGAACTCGTAACCGTCTTCGACAACTTGGTGCGCACGGCAGATGAGGTCCATGTCATGCTTTTGCAGGAAGCGCGATACTACGTCGGGCCCGAATGTGAAGCTCACACCTCGGTCATTCTCGCTCCATCCGGTAATGTCCTTGTCTGGGTCGGACCAGAGAAGGTCGCAGAGGAGACCGCAGTCGGGAATCTGTCCTTGTTAGCCTGTGCGCTTCATGGACACTGCAGTTGCAGTTGCAGTTGCAATTTGAGCCTGACTCACGTCCGTGGGTCGCATGACGCGCCTGATCTGTTCCATCGAGTTAAGGTCTGGGCTGAGACCGCCGTGCATAGTGAAGATCTTCTCGTCGATGATGGCGGCAATGGGTAGGCAGTTGAAGCAGTCGGTAAACGTCTTCCACAGCTTGATGTTGTATCTTCGTTTGCACTCGTCGTAGAAGCCGTAGATGCGGTTGATGGAGGCGCACTCGTGGTTGCCACGGAGGACGAAGAAGTTCTCGGGGTACTTGATCTTGTACGCCAGCAGAAGGCATATCGTCTCGAGAGACTGCTTGCCACGGTCGACGTAGTCGCCTAGGAAGAGGTAGTTGGCCTCTGGAGGGAAGCCACCGTACTCGAAGAGCCGCAGCAGATCATAGTACTGGCCGTGGATGTCTCCGCAAATCTGAAAGGCAAAGCAGTCAGTAGGTGCTCAGAAGCCAGATCTCGGGCTTCGCAGCACTGCGCGTTGTGACTGACCTTTATCGGTGCCTCGAGCTCGAGCAGGATAGGCTGTGAGATGAAGATTTCGCGTGCCTTGGTGCATAGATAGCGGATCTCCGTCTCGAGCAGCTGTACCTGTTTGCCAGGCCGGCTGCCACGGACCTCGAGCAGACGGTCTATGATGGAGTCCAGGTCCACCTCGTTCTCGGCCATAGCTGGGACTTGCTACTGGCACTGGTGTGGGTGGCTGAAGGTGCAAGGGAAGACCTCGCGCGGGTGGGTGGGAGAGGGCTGCGCGTAGCACTGGCGGTAATTCTCCTGCACCGGGCGTGTTAGCAGTGCCCTATGCCTTGGGGGCTCCAATGGGAATGCCGACGTACTTCTGATCTCAAAGAGTCGGCCGGATCGGGTCGTGGGTGGTCGACGCTATGGGCGGGTGGAGTATGGCTCAAAGCCCCTCAAAAGCGCCTGGCGGCAGAGCTGGGATCACGCGACGAGTGGGGCGGCTGCGATGTGCGCTGGTCAATTGTGCTTGTTGAGACGGCGATACCTGTGCGGGCTGCTGCTGCGTCGTGGGCAGGCGAGTGCGGTGCAGTGGGGGGGGGGCCGCTGAGGCGTTGTTGTGACCGGAAGCCTGTCGAGTGGGATGCTAAGAGTAACTTCACCGCCTGTAGCAAGCGGGGACGGTCTGGCTGCGAGGACACTGGGGGCGAACGGCGTGCGACTGCTCAACACAGTATACCTATGGGATCGCGCGCGAAGTGTTTGTATACGCTGATTTGTAGGCCGGGTTGGGTTGCGGTGGTGAGAGGATCGCGCCGCCCGAGTAGTAGTTTTGCAGCGTTTCAGTTAGTCCTAGGCTGGGGCTGCCTTGGCACCAGAGCGTGCTAGCCCAACACAGACGCGCGTCGGACCTGGGAGAGGTTGCAGACGTCTCGACTGCCTTGCGGAATCAACTGTAGAGGGTGCAATTATTCGCGAGTCTCTGATCTGCGCAAAGCTTCTGGCTTGGGTGTATCTACTCCTCCAGCTATTGCCGAAGCCCTTCACTCTCACCCCGTTTCCAACCCAGTCCTTGCCTGTGTTTGCCGTCTCCAATCAATGTCCCACATGAGCGCCTGCAGCACCTCACGCGTTACATACACTTTACATGTCGCAGTAGTCAACAACACATGCTGAACGTGTGCACCCTCTGCGAGGAAACTGCTATTGTATTTGTAGTCATGCGAGCATTCACTGCTAATGCGCGCTTCATGATGCAATAGATCAACCAACGCCTGCCTTCTTCCTTGGGCTCCCTCACCAGAACATAGACGACGCTAACAAGCAACACAAAGGGAACAAGAAGCTACGCACTCATCGCCAAAGGTAACGGGCAACCAACCTACAGTGCGCCGGCATAGAAGTTATCTTACACTATCCATTCAACCAGGAACATGGCCGTTATGCTCCCAGAGGAGAACACGCAGAAATGCAACACGACCGCCTGTTGACAAGGGAGAGGAAGAGATGCCGCCGATAAGGTCGAAACAGCCTCGGAAAATGGTCTCGATCGGTCCCACGAGCGTGACAAACTGCGACGCTCAAATTCGACTTACATCTATCCAACGCCTTGCCCGAAGCCCCGTGAATGAATTGATGAACAAACTATATAGACAAAAGCGTCCGCTTCCGGAAGCTGCAGTGCGAGTCTGGCAAAGCGAACAAATTGTTTTGGGTATCGCAAGTGGACAGATCGGGGGAAATTAGGTCAGCCAAGTGTACGACCAGAAACGATGCTTTGGCTCGGTGTACGAGGTAGTGTTGGCCGCATGGTAGGGGAGCTATACCCACGATCCGAAGGAAAACTATTGACCGATGTGTTGTCCCAGCTCTCGTCTCCTAGCGCGCTAAGCCATGTGTTACCGAAGTCTTGCCGAAGGGCTTCGATCTTCTTCTTGTACAAGTCCTCGCTGACGTCGAATTCCGTTGATTCCGGATCGGCGGTTTTGGTCGGGGGTGCGGTATCGATTGAGGGCAACTGTTGGTGGCTTGTGTGAGGTTCGTGTGCGACTGTACGCTCCTCTAAAATACTCTTCTTGGTAGGATCTCCAGAAACTTGTCCCTTGGACGGCTCTACAAGCCGGGGCGTATCCGTGGCCAATGTGTTGCTTGCAGTCTTCGTGATCTTAGGGGCTTGTCCGACGACAGTATCCTCGTATGCCAACCCTGTCAAACTAGAGTGCGATGACGACTGCAGCGAGTCGGTCTGAGAGAGCTCGACAATTCTCCTTTTAGGGCCCTTCTTCTTCTTTTGGGAACCTTGTGCACTGCGCCCACTCTTGGTACGTTGCAGGGAACCGGTACGCTGAAGCACACCTGTTATGTCGGAGGAAGTATCGACAGATTTGACAACCTTTGGTGGTACGTGTCGCGGGGCTTGCGAGTCATCCTCGGGTGGCGGCTTAACGATGGGAACACCATGGCGTTCGGGAACTCGGTCAACGAGTTGCTTCTTCTCGGCATTGCTAGGTCCTACAGAATCGATGACAATATCTTCCGTATAGCCTGGCGTCTTGCGGAACAGATTGAAAATGGTCACTCTATAGGTGGAGTGCGTCTTGCAAAACGGATTGCGATTGACATAGATATCAGTTATGTCGGGAACACCAGTCAGTCGCGCAACTTCTGTAGGATCAGTCAACCTGTTATCACGGAAATCGACCCGCTCCAGAGATAGCAGTCGCTCAACACCAGCCAACGATGTCAAGCGGTTGGAACGAAGGTTGAGCGTCGTGATGGCTGGCAGCGGGTTACGACCCAAAGAGTGCAAGCTGTCAATCATGCAATTGGACAGGTTCAGTGCGCGCAAACAGGTCAGGCTGGCAAGACTGTCAGGAATCTCAGCAAACAGATTGGCAGAAATATCAAGAGACTGTAATGTGTTTGCCAAGGGAGCCAGACTTGCAACTGATATGTTGGTCAGAGCATTGTCGGCCAAGCTCAGATGTCGCAAGAAGCGCCATTTGGTTGCAGGAAACCAGCCCATGGAGAGGAGGTTAGAAGAGCTGCCTCTTGG